TATTATATATAAATTTATATATATATTACATATATATATAATTTCTCAAATGAACTCTATAAACTAAAAATAAAGGATTAAAGTTGACCTGACATACTTCATAGAACCCTGGTTGATACTCTGAGTTTTTTTCTCAATGCAATATGAAGGCAAGCAGTGAAGACTATTCTAGATAAAAGAGGTATCTGTGAGACTTGTTGGTTGTGCTTATTTTTACAGATCCTCAGTTATCCTATTGAAATGTGTTAATGTGTGGTGTATCTCATGAAAATAGTCTACCTTTCTTGCTGGTAAATTTTTCATCTCTAACTTTTATCTAAAGATCAAAAAAATTGTGAAAACTCAGTAACTGTGATTTCCCTTTTCTAGATAATAAATAGAAGCAAAAAACTTGTCTGAGGCTATAAGGCTAATCAGGGGCAATTGGAACCCGATAGGATCCCCTTCCTATTATTTGATCTTTTTGACATAGGAACTTTCTCTTGGGATTCAGTCATTTATGTTAGGATAGTAAATACTCACAAATATGAAGTTGGAGCTAGTTGTATATCATGTAGTCCATGCATCTATAAAATTAATTCCTTATACAATAAAAGAAAAATTCAAAACAGAAGTCATTCAAAAACAGCATCTGAAAATAAAATTCCTTTGCTGAAAATAGTTTTGACTTTCTCTTCCATATGTATTAACAACTGATGCTTGTTTTACTGAAAACAGTTAAAAGCCAAGCTTAATTTGGGAAGAAACTCAAAAATATCTTTGGATCAGATTTTTGCCTACTATTTTTTATGCGTGACTGTTAGTGAAGTTCATAAACAAAATACTGAAATGAAATCAAAGGTTGAGAGATCATTGCAAATTTGTTATGCTTTCCTATATTTTAAATTACAACAATTTTTTTCTCTTCTTCCAGTATGGGAAAATATTCTAGAAGCTATATTTCCTAAGGAACCTGAAGTCCCTATTTTAGCACTGAAATCATTAGGCTCCTAGTGGAAAACCTACAAACAGAAAGTAGGGTCAAATGTATCAAGGTGCTTGAAGAAAGACACATTTCTCCCTCTGGTCTCAGGGCCTCACACTCATTTCTCTCAGTACCTCATATATTTTCTTCTCTGTGTGGACTAACCATTGACTTCAAAGGAAAATCAAGCAAGGAAAGGATTTGCAGGGTGTAGAAAGAAGCAGGAATCTGCTCCACATACTCTGAGAAACCGACCCACGTGATTAGTGATTAACAGCTTAAAGTGGCAAGACATTAAGATGAAAGTACACAAACAATTAATGAAAAGCAATAGTTTTGACTGGAGGCGTTATACGCTCCAAAGACAAGAATCTCACATAGAAATCCAAATTTCCATTGTTATTATCTAGGGCTTGAATTTTACAAATCAACAATCATCTCCCCTTCTTTGGAGAAAGGCAACAATATCACAAATAAAAAAATCACGAAGAAAAAAAAAGGTGTCAGATTTAGGTTTATATTGGTATTTGATAAGCCACATAACATTATTTTCTTCTAATGAGATTCATGAAATGAATTCATGTTTGATGTGATTTTCGAGGCCTCCTTAGATACTCCCCTCCTTTCCCTTCTTTTCACTTCCATGTTCAGGATGTCTTTGTTACAGAAGCCTTCATCCAGGCCTCTGCCATCACTGTTTCTGCCCACAGCTCTTCCTCCAAACAGCAAAAGAAGCAACCACACTGAAGAACAACTTCAGTCAGGTATCTGATCAATGCAAACATTTTCAGGTGCTGCCCATGGTAATCATTACGGAGACCACATGGTTTAGCATGGCATTCAAGCCAATCCATTCTACCCCATCTTTCCTTTCCCATCACAGGCCTTATTTCTCAGGTACTTTATACATCTATCCCAATGGTTACCTTCAAATACTGTGTGAAGATCCTTTCTGGGGCATCCCTTATGTTTTCTAACCCCAATGCTATGAGCTACTTGTGTCCTCCTAAATTAGATACCAATCATTCTGCCACCTATCTATCTATACTCAGTTTATGCATCAAAAATCCCCTAAGCCTGGTTTGATTTTCTAAGTAAGAAATGAACTCTTGACCATAGTATAATGATATTCCTAACACAGAGGTTTTTTTCATATTAGCTGAATTTTTTTAAGTAGTTCTTAGTTGGTTTCACAGGTGATTGGCCTCAGGATAAATTTTTAATACTTTGTGCATATCTATTTGGGTAGGAATCTTGACTCTGTCCATTAATTAACAAAGATAATTGAGAGCTTTAAACCCAAGTTTCCTTATGTAAAATGAGTCTACTAATGCCAATCTTATTAGAATTAAATAAGCTTTACTTTAGAACTTGGTCCATATCAGTTGCTCAACCAATAGAGATTTCTTTCTCATTTGTTCAACTTTAAATTCCGCACAGACTCTTGTGCAATAGGTGCTCATTTAATGCTTCTTTTAATACAGAAGATTGGATATTGGTTTCCAGTGTAGGTAGACGTAAACGGAGGATACGTCTATGTAGACCAACCCCTACATGGATGACTTAGGTCCAACTGTATTGAATATTTTAAAGAAAAATTTTGGTAAAGCATCTCCGTAATGTATTCTGTTCATAACTGGCAGTCAGTGTTTGTATAGTATTCACTCATTTTCTAACAATGTGTTACTTTATAATATAAAAAAATAGACTCATAGAATAAGTCAAAATATATGACCAGAACAAGTAATAGCAGCAACAAAGCAACTTCCAAACCTCTAAATATTCAATATTAGTTGACATAAAAAAAGAAAGTTGTATGCTCTAAGAGTCTAAGAGGGCTTCCCTTAGATGCTTCATTTCAGAGAATATTAAAAAATATATATGACAATTTTAGCATTATCTACTTCAGGAATTACAGCATATCTGTAATTCCCAACTGGCCTAGCCTTGCCTGCCAGCACACTCTTGGGCTATATTCTCCCTATACTCAGGAAACACAGTCATTTCAACATCAGCCAAAGTGAAATATAATTACAAATGTATATCTCCTGCCAAAACTTCGTGATGCATGCCAAAAACAAATAAGACATTGTCTAAGGTTGATCTACTGTTTGGGTTTTCCACACTGTATTCCCCTAACATCAGCACAGATGATTCCAGGTAACCATATTGTACATCAGAACAGCAACGCTTTAATCTTTAGCAATGAAAGCCCTCAAGATATTAGCCATGATTTCAACTTATGTTCATAATCACCTACACCAGCAGTTTTCATGCAGACTTGTTAACATGACCGACCTCATGTTAAACTCAAGTATGGTAACCAAATTTGTTTGAACTAACTTCTTTTTCACCTCTAGAAATCTTACCTAATGCTTTTACATTGGTCATTTCCAAACAGGATCACTTTCTAAAAGGGACACTTCACAAAAATAGCAGAACGCCAGGTGGGTTGAATTATTTCCCTTGTCATTTAGCAAATTCTCAGTTTCAACCCATATATCACATTAGAAACCAGATCAGAGGTACAATAGATTTTATATTGAACTTATCTCAAAAGATACAGACAGTTCTCTATCTAATGTTGCTAAAAGGCCATATATACCCACTGGGCATTTGTTCCATTCTTTTATTCCCCTGTGCCCACCCTTAATGTTCCCTGCCTTCTCTTGTTGGCACCCCAGCCACTACAATGATAATACAACCAAATACAGATGTTTCCTCTTGTCCTGATAAGAACAGAAAACTTCCTAAAGCAGCAAATGAGATCTCTACACTCCCAGGCAGTATGAACTCCCTAGCAGCATCTCCCCAACCTGTAAATCCAAGACAGAGAGTGGGAGAATGAGAGGAGTCATTCTGCAGCTTTAATCAAAGTCACATAATTTTTTTTTAATCTCCTTTCCATTGCAGTTTTAAAAGGGCAGATATCTATACCCAGGAAGAAAAAGAAAAAGAAAAAGAAAAAAAAAAAACCTTAGGAGAAAGGCTTTCTCTTTCATTTTTATAACATGCATGTACCCAGGTTTAATCTGCCTGCTCCAAATGAAACCTACATATGTCATACTTTGGCCCAGAATTCATTTGACTGGGTAGTGGATTGTCATGGAAAATCATACTATGGAAAAAGATGAGCTCTTGCTGGATTGACCATCTTGCTCCCCTCTTCACACTAGAACCTCTCTTCAGTTTTCAACTTCTCCAAACCAGCAAAGTTTCATCCAGTTTTAACACTTCATTCCTATACCATAATCTACTACTATCAGATAGTGAAATGAGGCTGGGTTGGTGGCATGAGGGAGGGGGTGTCATTGAGGGGATATTAATGATCATTTTAAGTGCTTTCCAACAGCAAAAAAGATTATCAAAAGCAAGCATCCTGAGAGCTTGTTGCAAACCGCGTACCACATACTGAGTTAAGAAAGGATGCACAGAACAGGGTTAGAGAGGGTGTTGGAAGGGAAAGGGAAGGTTAGCAGGAGAGAGTGATAAAACATAATCATGAAAAAGTGAAAACTAACCTGCGTAGGGGATGGCGATGGGAAGCAGGAGGAGGTGGAGGAGGACATGCTGCAGCAGCAGGACTGGCAGAAGTTTGGTCACCCACATGGTGCTGCGGGAAGGGCGAGCTGGCGGATCCCACTGGAGGAGATAGATGCCTGGTGCAAGAATCCAGTCGGAGTCAGTGTCTAAAAGAGCCAGTCGGCTCTGAGCTGCTTTTTATTACGATGATCTAAGTTTGTTGTGTGACTAACTGGAAAGATCTAGGTCTGAACTCCCTCTTACGGTAAGAAACTGTTTAACAACAGCCCTTTACTCTCTTCCAGTCCCCTCCTCTCCTCACCCACCCCCCAATAACAACACCAAACAGATCCCAGCCCCTCCCTCCCCACCCCCCCTTTTAGGAGAGAAACTTACAAAGGAAAGGTCACCTGGCCTGAGGCCAGCTTCAATTTGGAAGCTCAAGCTCCAGATCCCAGTGGCTCCTATCCGAGTAAGGAAGGGAGGAGCGAGGCTCAGCCCGATGGCTAAATCAAGGCACAAGGCAGAGGACCAATTCGCTCAATTTAAACAGGAAAATACGTGTGTTTACATATCAATTTGGGAAAAGAGGAAGGGGAAGCAGCCTAAGAAGAAAGCAGAGGGCTGTTTCTCAGCCAAATGTGCCCCAGCGCCTAATCTGTCTAGTTTCACTGCCAGAGCAATCTAGGGATTCAGAACACTGACACCAGTTCCCCTGGGCTTAGAGACTGGGAGGGGAAGAGATTTTTGAGAGATGGAGGGAGGGAGGAGGGGGACAGCGCCCAAGCAAGGCCAGCTGGGCCAGGTAGAAGGAGGTTAGGTAAAAGAAAGGTGTGGTACTGCAGGGCAAAAATTGAAAAAAAAAAAAAAAAAAGAAAACACTCAAATTCCAGGGGGTGGTGATTGTCCCTGTTCAAAGGGCCCAGAGCAGGTAGCTCTTTCCAAGAGCTTTTAGTGGTGGTAAACTCCCAAATTACCACAGATTTGCCCAAAGTACATAAAGGCAATGTGACTGGTTGATGTACTGATCTTTATTTTAAATGTCTGAGAAACAGTCACCCTCTGTCTGACCCTGACCGATGAATATACCATGGCTCTATGTCTTTGCACACTCACGCTTTCAGCTCTGTGTGTACGTGTGCAAGAGTGCATGCTGTCAAATTTAAATTGGCTGGTTTATTTTTTTCTTCTAGCAATGCTCTCTAGAGAACTTCAGAAAGTTTGTGGAAAATAGAATTAAAATAGTTTATTTGGATGCAAAAAATATTTTTAAGTAAATGCATAGTTTTTCCACTCATTTGCCTTGGACTTTGTGAAGACCTTTTGTGTGCACATTGTGTGCGTGTATGTGCATCTTCTAAGATTAATTTTCACCAGAAACCCTTTGAACTGTTTCACTTTGTGAATAGCAAATGCACCTCTCTTCTCCAATCCATCCCCCTGCATACACCCACTAGCCTCTTAAAATCTAAATGGAGGGATGCAGAACTTGCTGGAAAAGATCCATAGGTATCAAATGTTTCTGAACTCATTGCCCAGACCTCTCATTTTATTCAGAGGATTAGGTTTTTTCACCTTGCAGTGGAACGGTGGATGTTCAGATTATGGTAGGCAAAACCTTGCTTTATTTCTACTGGATTTTCAGTCGTCCTTGCCCCTATGTGTCTCTCAGGTGTAAGCAGGAGCCAGGGGCTCTGTGATAAAGGAGGGGAAAGTGGCAGAATGTGGAATGCGGAAATGATCTGAGCAGTGCATAGCCTTCCAGGAGTGGCAGTGGGCAAAATGCCACTCACCCACAGAACAGCCTGCCGTCTGCCTGCAGCTCCCATCCCTCTCCCCCCAGCTCCTCCACTCCCATCCCCCACCCCAGCCCCAGGCCTGATGGGTCCCTGAGACTATGGGATGTCTAGAAAACCTAGTGATTAGGAGGACTTCTTTTGGCCCATTTTATATTATCTTTTCTATTGCTATTCCTTCTCTTTTATCAGTTTCTTCTAAAAATAAAACAAAGCAATGTTAAAAACCGTTTGTCAGCCTCTCTCTAATCCAAGTATCTATTTTACTTACTTACTTTCTTTTTTTTTCTTTCATTCTTTCTTCCTTTCTTTCATTTTTTTTTTTATTGTCCATTATACTTTTTCAAAAACCTCAACTTCAGTGTGTTGCTTGACCATGGCTCTAAATTGTCTTACTTGCATCTCATTAGGGTCAAGCTGCTTTTAAAGACATGAGATTTTGGGGAGACCAGCAAATAGTGTAATGCCTATGCCGCTGAACTCCCACATACTGGACCATGATTCAAGCTCCCAGACATGGCAGCTTGAAACTCATGCTGGTCTCATGTGTGTGCATACCCAAGGTCCTGAGAGGAGAATGGAGGAAAAGGGATTGCAGTGTGGCCATCCCCCTGGGGGGTGATTTCTCGCTTTCTGTCTCTCTGTTTCTCTGGTGAACATACATGCCCTATAGCATAAATCTCTCTTTAAAAAAAAAAAAAAGACATGAGTTTTTTGGGTACATAAATTCTTATTGGTAAAGAATGAAGGAGATCAGTCTTCCTAAATATTTTCTCTCTCAAAGAAAGTAGAGTCAAGGCTGTAAACATTGTAGCAATTATCATTCCAAGTTGGGGACAAAATTAATCTGGGATAAGGGGTCCAGAAATTGAATAAGGCAGCTGAGCCCACATGGCTGACCACATGGTTCAAGTCCCAGTCCCGGTGGCTTGAAAAACACATTGGTAACATGTATGTGCATGCCCAAAATTCTGAGGAGAAGGAACTGAGGTGTGACCAAATCTCCTAGTGGAGGGTGCTTTCTCACTTTCCCTCTCTCTCTCTATTTCTCTCTCTGGTGAACACATATGCTCTATGGCAAATTAAATAATAATAATAAATTGAATAAATTTATTAGGTCACTTTTTATAATTATTTATTGTCACATTAAATATAAACAATTTAAACCTATTTAAAATGATATAGTTCTTTCCGATAGAAAGTATTTGGTTTATATTTATTGAAATCATAGCTGATACACACTTAACTTTTAGTGTATGCCAAGAATCGTGCTACACATTCATAAAATATTGTCTTATTTAATCCTTAAAATCAATTTAAGAAAGAATTATTGTAATTCCCACTTTATAGTTGAGGAAACATAAGTGAATTGTTTTTACTCTTAAATAACTTACCTCAGAGTTGAATGATGGTGCACACACCCACTAACCTCTTAAAATGTAAATGGAGGGATGCACATGATAAATCATGGTACTCTGTAAACTAATTCCGTATGGGACGGTTCCCAGCTCAAGTCTGGAGACCTCCCTGAGTACACCAAGTACATGCTTACCTGGACCTGGCTAAAAGCTGGAGGTAGATCACAGCTTCAAGACCCTATCAGGGTGCTCTTTCTCTCCCTATCTCTCTTGCTCATCAAAGACATAAATAATCATTTTTAAAATAATAATAATTTGTGCAGATCCCAAAGGAATAAAAATTCAGGTGCCAGATTCTAGAGATTGGTCAACCCAAACCCAATAGATTGGGGTAAATTTCTATAAACCTATGAGAAAAATCATGTGTTTAAGATCACAGTTTCCAGGGTCAGCTGGTAGCAAGGTGGTTAAGGCACTAGACTCCTACATGGCCAACTGTGGTTCAAGTCCTGGGCCTGGTGACTTCTTTCTCACTTTCTTTCTCACTCTTTGGTGAGCACGTGTGCCCCATAGCAAACTTAAAAAAATTAAAAGAATTATAATAATAAATAAAATAAACAATTTTAAAAAGATTATAATTTCTAAAAAAATCTAAGACTAAACATATGAGATGTTCAATAATACTTTGCAAAATAAACCAACATATTAATAATTTAAGACTTTCAAAAATATAATTGAATACACAAATGAAATAAAATACTAGTTATGCTATTATTTTGTAACAATGCTTTCTCTGTTCCCCGCTAATTACCTTTCTACTACTCAGGTGCTTATTAAATTATTTGTAGAAATTCCTAAAGAAAATGAGTATGTATGTGTTTTGATGAAAGAAATATTGCGAAGTGCTGTAATTTGTGTAATTATTTACATATAAGATAGATAGATACTCATTGCATATAATAACATCTTAAATCTGTTTTAAGATTAAGGCCTCTAATATCCCATGTGAACTAGTTAAATTATAATAAATGCAAACTGTACCTTTTTTTTTTTTTAAGTTACCAGAGGATATGAGCACCAGAAAGAGACCAAAAAAGAGGTAGAGGGAAAAAGCACACTGTAATCCCTCCTCCTCCATTTCTCCATTTTGTCAGGATTTGGGGCTTGCACATACACATGTCTGGTGTGTTTTTTAAGTTGCAGTGCTGGGACTTGATCCATGGTTGGGCACATGGATCCAGCTGCCTTAATCACTAGGCCACACAACTGGCTCAAAAACTGTACTTTTTAAAGGCACTTGGTTAAAAACACATAAACACACACACATATACACACAATAGCCAAAACATTTGTCTTCAGAATTCATGTGTTCAACCACAGGTGATGTTTGTAAAAATGTACAGTGTAACTAGTGATTAGGAGGACTTCTTTTGGCCCATTTTATATTATCTTTTCTATTGCTATTCCTTCTCTTTTATCAGTTTCTTCTAAAAATAAAACAAAGCAATGTTAAAAACCGTTTGTCAGCCTCTCTCTAATCCAAGTATCTATTTTACTTACTTACTTTCTTTTTTTTTCTTTCATTCTTTCTTCCTTTCTTTCATTTTTTTTTTTATTGTCCATTATACTTTTTCAAAAACCTCAACTTCAGTGTGTTGCTTGACCATGGCTCTAAATTGTCTTACTTGCATCTCATTAGGGTCAAGCTGCTTTTAAAGACATGAGATTTTGGGGAGACCAGCAAATAGTGTAATGCCTATGCCGCTGAACTCCCACATACTGGACCATGATTCAAGCTCCCAGACATGGCAGCTTGAAACTCATGCTGGTCTCATGTGTGTGCATACCCAAGGTCCTGAGAGGAGAATGGAGGAAAAGGGATTGCAGTGTGGCCATCCCCCTGGGGGGTGATTTCTCGCTTTCTGTCTCTCTGTTTCTCTGGCGAACATACATGCCCTATAGCATAAATCTCTCTTTAAAAAAAAAAAAAAGACATGAGTTTTTTGGGTACATAAATTCTTATTGGTAAAGAATGAAGGAGATCAGTCTTCCTAAATATTTTCTCTCTCAAAGAAAGTAGAGTCAAGGCTGTAAACATTGTAGCAATTATCATTCCAAGTTGGGGACAAAATTAATCTGGGATAAGGGGTCCAGAAATTGAATAAGGCAGCTGAGCCCACATGGCTGACCACATGGTTCAAGTCCCAGTCCCGGTGGCTTGAAAAACACATTGGTAACATGTATGTGCATGCCCAAAATTCTGAGGAGAAGGAACTGAGGTGTGACCAAATCTCCTAGTGGAGGGTGCTTTCTCACTTTCCCTCTCTCTCTCTATTTCTCTCTCTGGTGAACACATATGCTCTATGGCAAATTAAATAATAATAATAAATT